GTGCACAGGAACCTGCGTGCGCACACTTTTATACATCTGAATATTTTGGTGCGGAGCACTTTTCTAAATTAGTCCCTACATCAAGTTTTAGTGTGAAAGCTGTGCACTCCTTTATGCCTGAGGCCCCTGGGTTTTCCTAAATTGAGAAGGCATCGTGAAAACTTTTAATGAAAATTAAAATATATATTTCTTTTACTTTTGGGGGCATTCAATAAATAGAAATAATTTTGAGATAACTGATTTGTGGTTTTATGTCAGGCAGTCAGAAATAAATACGTAAACATCTGGTTTCAACTATAAATATTTCAATATTAAAGCAGAAAATGTTAGGCTGAAAGTAATTAGAATAAACCTCAGATATTCATGTCTAAATTGTTTCATTCGTCATTTCAAAACAGCTGTTTTCGTCAGGCTTTTTAGATGTTCTGTATCAATTTAACAGTTTTTTCTTCATTTTGTCCACAGTGTTGGTGTGTGTGTGTGTGTGTGTGTGCTTGCACATACGTTGTCTTCCCCACTCTCCTCCTCGTCTCATTGAACGCTGGTGATGAAATGGAGATGAGTTAAAGTGCCAACACAAAGCCTGAGCAGACCCCTGCATCGCTGCAACAATGGAGCCACCAAACACAAGAAAGTGAGAGGCTCTTGGAGGACCACAGAGAAAGAGCTGAAAATAAGAGAGGGGGGAGAAATTAAGGAGCCCGATGTGAAGGGAAAAAAATGAAAGGGAAGAAGGGCTGAAGCATCCTGAGAGCAGGAGGGAAAGGATGGTGGGCAAAGGTGKGACAATGGAAAGCAAGCAGGAGAACATAGCAAGGTAGCTAATCCCTGCAGACATAAAGCAGCTATATGTAAATGAAAGACGTGAAGTTTGGTCATCTTACTTTGATCTATGAATCAGGCTCTCCCCTCCTCCTCTTTCACATTCACCCTCTTCTTCCTCATTTTTCTGTGTAAGAAAATGGAGACTTATTTAGCTTAATCTCACTTAGCATCCAGCTCTCCTTTTGTCCTCCTGATGCTAACAGATTCGCGTCCTTTCACCGGCCGCCATTCACATATCTACCCCCCCTATAATCCTCCTATTCCAGGGTGGCAATTATTGTGAGTATATCAGCATTATGATTATGATTATTTTCATTCTTATTATTCATGCCGAGGACCAGCTTCTCGGTGAGAAGATCTTCCCCACCAGCACCTCTCAGAATAAAGCTGCTTCTTTCTTCCAGAGGGGCGATGAGTCTGCAGGAGTGAGCYCCTTTCAGAGCGACACATTTTCTGGGCGTTTGAACATATTGTGGAGTGAGTGTAATGAGTAGCACCGACTCACCCAGCCTCACTCCTTAACGCAGACATGCATCAAGAATTTGAAGTTGGAGGAGTGAGAGGGAGCTATTAATCAAAAGGCTTTTTTTCCCCCTGCAGCTGTAATTACATGGGTGGGTTTTGATCTTTTGCTTGTTGGTGCAGTGAATGCTTGGTAAAGATGAACACTGTGTCACTAAATGGGAGTGATGTGAAGGGAATACTAGGTTCAACATCTTGTCAGCAGATGTGTAAGATTATTTGTCTTGTTAGTCTGAAAATTTGACTCAAATTAAGTCAAAATATCTGCCAGTGGAGTAAGAAAATTTTACTTGGTAAGATTATTGAAATACTTGATTTGACTCAATTTTTTTCTTATTTCAAGAATCTTACCAAATAAAAATTTCTTACTCCACTGGCAGAAATTTTAACCTAATTTGAGTCAAATTTTCAGACTAACAAGACAAATAATCTTACACATTCTGAAAACAAGATGATTATTCTTACACAATCAGTTCTTGTTTAGTAAATCAGTCTCAAAACTACACATGGGTTTTTACGATGTAAAAACAAGTGCGCATTGCCACGTAACATGTCATTGCAGCATGGCTTTGCCTGCAGCGTTGGACTTGCAGAATGAACTTTGACCAAGTTCAAATGTGTTTTCTAGCTTGTGCCTGTCATGTCAGCAGGTGTTTAGAATTAAGGTAATTGTGTGACAATATGAAGTTTGAAGAGATTTTTTCTTAAAGTTGCATTAGCTGGGTTTTGAACCCTGACCTCCCACATGAAAATCCATGACATAGACCATTAGACCAATGGAGTTGTAGCAGAAGGTGGTGGCAGGGGTTGATTTGTATGTGTGCAGAAAGAGGCCACATTGCCAATACAATTATTGACACTAAACTGCATAATATTACAACAACAGAGCAGTATTAAGATAATATTATAGTAAAACATCAAAATACAATCATATTATTACTGTAAACACTGAACTACTGAGTTGAAATAATAAACTACGGTGCAGTACCAAGTTGAGTCCAGCATGTGGCAGTATTGGACCAATACAAGGCTCCATTGACTGCCATTATAATTCATTAAACATTAATATTTCATAAACTATAAATTTTACAGGCACCAAAAGGCATAGCCATCATTTGGCACAGGAGCTTTGCAGATATAAATTACAATAGCAGCTCTAGGACAAAGTATGCAGGAGGAGAAGCATGACAAAGTTGAGATGACTTGGACGGGAAACGAATCACAATAGTGTGCATTGCATTGGCAATGCACACTGACAAGATCAAAAAGACTTTCTGGCTGATATAAGATTTTAAAACTTGGTGAGATGGACAGTTTTTACAGTGTATGTCAGTGATTCTGTTAAGTTCTGTGGATTTTTTTTTTTTTTTTTTTTGGTGCTGTCACGACTGTTTTGTTGAATATGAGATGATGAAATGACACAAGACAAAATAAGGCACAAGCAAGAAAATATTGCCTTTAATATACACAGTTGTTGAATTTTCACACTTTCAAACTTGAAGTAATTTAATTATTGTGAACAGTCAGATAAAAATGTATCCTAAAACCTGGATTTCCTGTTGAATTCATATCAAGTCCAGTTGCAACTGGCAGTGCATGTATTCAAAAATACATAAAAAAGCAATACAATAATACATTTTTAAGTTTTTGTTAAAAAGTCTTTAACAGTGTATTCTTTTTCTTCAACTGTTGCAGTTTGTGTTCGACCTGAGCCCTTCAGCTTTATTTCAGGTTCTTTTTGAACACATTTCATTGTTATTCACTGATCATTTAAAATGAGCATCAGGCACACAGTTTGAATTTATTTTGTGAGAAAACACAAAAAGTCTAGAAAACTGAGACAAAATACTCCCAACTTGCAATCCAGACCATGTTATAAGATCAAAATACAGAAGAGTTTTTAACAAACATGCAGGTCAGTAATGTAGTACGACATTAGAAACGTTAACATGTTAGAAAATATTTCACATAAAACGTTGCAAACATCAAGTCTCTCTTTATAAATCCTCTTGTTACTTTGGGAATCTGGGAGCTGCTTTGGACTGGCTGAACCTTGGCAGTCTGCAGACCCCACAGGGGCAGAGGGCCCCCGCTGTGGGCCCTGCGGAGCTCCAGTGCACTGGAGCCAGCGAGGCCTCCATGGGGCCCGGAGAAACAAGAGCGCATTTAGCTGCTGAGGAGGGCGGAGAAGTGGAGGGAGAGGAAGATGCTGAAGCTGCTGAGGACATGAGGGACTCGTGGGTGAGGAGGAGCTGACCGGGTCCGGCCATGAGGGGCCACCCTCCTGCGAACAGCAGCCGAGGAACCGGCCCCGTGTTCACACCCATCCCGACGCTTACCTCCCCCAGCAGCCGGCGCATTTCCTGCAGAGAAGAGCCCAGCAGGAGGATGTAGTTCCTCGCCAGAACCAGGGTGGAGATCTTGGAGAGCCTCCTGGCTGGAGGGGCTCCAGGCTGATGGGACTGCGAGGAGGCAGAGGGGGAGGAGGCGTAGGGGACCATGACCTCCCTCAGAGCGTCCATGGCGATGTTCAAGTCCTGCATCCTCTTTCTCTCTCTGCTGTTGATCTTCCGCCTGAGTTCCTGCTGCTCCTCGGCACTCAGCTCCTTCTGGGCCTTGGTGGGCCTCGGACCACTCTGGAGGCTCAGCATCGGTCCAGGGTTCAAGCAGGAGCTCAGGGTGAATCCTGGAGGGCAGTGGGGTAAATCATGGACCAAACCAGGCCCACAGGGGGACTGCTCCTGGGCTCTGATTACTGTGTTTGACAGAACATCCATTGTCCTTCCAGACGGTGTCAGTTAGATTTAAAGTCAATAAAAATAAATAAAAATAAAACCTCACAGAAGCTTAAAAAAACTCAACAGCTAAAAAACTCCAGTCTTCATTCTGTTCTCCTGGTTTATCTTTAACCTACAGAAACAGAGCCAGCTGCCATCCAGCATAATGACACCTCAGGTTTTCAGACTGCTGCCACCTCCAGAGGAATCGCTCCAATTTCTCATCTCCACTGTCTGAGGGAAGAATCCCAGCTCAGTGTGTGGAGAAGTGAGCTAAATGCTGCTCAGTCTCACATGGCCCCACCTCAGCTCAACTCCTCCCCGACACGYATCCTCTTCAGAAACAGAATTTAGTTTTTTTTTTTTTTAGAGAGAGAGAGAAAAGAGCAATCAATGGCAGATTGTGAGGAACTAATTGCCGGCAGAGTCACAGGAAAAGGTGAGAAAGTTAAAGGGATCCCTGATTATTTGTAACATTAAACTTTATTTGATAAACAATTATTTTAACTGTAAAATAAAGACTGTAAAAATACTGTAGGATGTTTATGGATGGAGGACAACAGAGCTGCTTCATGGAAGAACAACCTCAGATTAGCCTGTTAAACTTTGTGCTAGCACCGACACTATATTGTCTTATATGTATTAGCTCGGTGCTAGCTCGACAAACAAGCTAAACTGA